TTCGATAGCCGGAGTACCTTATGTGGGTAGATTTAGTTGACGAACTGATTTGGAATGATAGAAGACCTACGTTTTATGAGCGCAGGAAAAGTCAACTACCAAGCATGAGAAAGCAACACTAATATCACTGGTTAGTTGCCTCTTTGTAGACTATAACAATAGGCCACTGACAGACGAGAGGACTAAACTGTAGGAGTTTCGAAAGTTATTGATAATTTTATTGTTCTTCAAAGCATCATATCCCTCATTGCTATGTTGTTCGGTGTCAGAAGTACAAATAATTTAGGGGACTTGAAGGATAGTCACTGAAACTGAAAAGTTATCAAATGTACGGAATTGAGAACCTTTGAAGTTTCTTTCTGGATAAAATCGATATCAATCTTCCCACAAATGTTTACTTAAATGTATTTCACAATTATTTCTAAATTCGTCGGATAGTCAAAGTATTCCCGTTTGTAGTATATTGAAATGACTTGTTAAATTGTTTGTGTTTCGGAGGGAGGAGGCAAACAAGCTAGCCTGCATAATTTCGACCGGAAATTTTCCTCTGTTCTCATGATGAAATTATTATTAAGTGATTAATTCAACGTAGACGGGTTGTACAACATCGGTACATTTTCCCTACTGATACATGGTCAACCAACAGTGAAATTTGTCTTAGGTTTCTGCAACTTATCTTTACATATGTAAAACAGAGGAGACCACCTACTTAACAGAGGTCCAAATTTTACATCAAGTAATCCCAAGTCATAACTTCTGGTTACATTATGAACCACTAAGATCTTGCAAGATGTTACGCGAATAAATAACACTTCGGATTATTTTTCCTGACCCTGACTCAATTACGTCAAGCCTAAACATGGAAAACAGATTAGCGATCCGACTAAATGAATGAGCTAGCGCCACAAATCCAGTTCCGATATGGATGAGCAAACCCCAAAGAGTTCGAACTCCAGCTTCATTGGTATACATAGTTTGCTAAAATGCTACATAAAGTAACGCCATGAAACTAGACGCGGTAAAGATTCACTAACAGTATCACATTTCAAACTGCTACTTGCAGCCCCTACTTAATCAACATTTATGAATGCCAAGTAATGCACTTGCGAACACTCAGTAAAATGACCATGTCATCCATATCATATAAGATGTTCTCCGTTTGACTGTTTGATCGTGTTTGTCCCTCACTGTCCCCGTATACTTAAAACACTTAAAACCCAGGATGAGGTTGGTGAATACCGAAACAGCGTTTGGAATTGTCTAGTATTCACATGCGATTCATATTTATGTCTGTTTGAGGTTAAGAATTTTTCTACTGAGATCGACACTTAAACTGGGAATATAGACGACTTCAGCCAACGTTTTGTACCATGTCTTGACAACTAAGACAACACGATACTGTGTTAGTTTTAACATCACGGCTGACCATTTCTACTCATTTCATTTTCTTGAATCACAGACTTGACAGCTGACCATAACACTTGGCGAAAAACGTAACGTCGCGTTTCGTGTTTCGCCGATTATGAATATGGATATTATGGATTTAAGAAATCCATTGGAAAGTGGAAACATATGACCAATATTCTGCGAAATAATCCCTGGAGTTTGTGTTGCAAATGGAAAACGGCCCGCGACTTAGACACTAATAATGAGGCTGATAAAACACACCCAAAAATTTCCTTTGTGTTACCTTGGTCAGGGAGCTTGATGAATGCGAGCCGTCCGAAAAATCAAGAATAAGGAATGGGCTAGACAAATTCCAGCTCAAACTATATATATATATATATATAGCCCCACACAGAGTGCAGAGAACGAGATGCAGAAGTCTCTCAGTCACATAGCGGATTAAGTACAATAAGAGTTGAGGAACCAGAGTAGTGAGTTTATCTTTGTTTATCTTTGAGCAAAGATGTATGAGGATACCTTTATTTGAGTTTCACTGAATGGCTATTTGCTGGTATTACTTCTCAGTTACTAGTTCGTCATTCAACAACTTGAGCGATTTGTGTCAGCTGTGGTTTAATTGAGTTAAACGGGAATCGTGTGACATTGATTCAGAGCACACCTCCCGGCTCCTACCTAAAGAGGATTGCCCCTCGTGTTCTTCGAGCCATGAGTTTGCCTCTATAACTATGTAGAACAAGTATGACGTTGATATAGAAATGTTTTTGTTAGAATGGGATGCTGCAACTGCTGCCGCATGAGGTGCTTGATAATTTGGCCTACTCACCGCGATGCTTCGACGATCCTACTAGTCCTATTGTTGCCTAAATTTTGAATTATTTTGTTTCTCTTTCTATCTGTCTGAGGTTGTTTTACTACATCTCGTGCAATTTGTGAACTGTGGTTAACTCTTTGATGTGGTTTGTTTCTTTATTGTTTCACTTTAGTTGTACTCGAGCTTTTGGCATTAGTGACTGTTATGTTGTGTGACTGTATTCCTACAACTTGATGCAATGCACTGGCTTTTTCGACAGCATAGAAACTAAGTTTCCTGATTGTCAAGATCGTCTACTGTAAATCAAAACCTTGATCACTCATCTCCTAAGTGAATCGACAGGTAAATTCTTTTGTTATTCTGCAACTCCAACCGCAATTTTTATCTTGTAGTTGATCGACCTCCTTTGAAGTAAATTATTCTTATTTTTGGCTTATGTAGACTGTAAAGATATGATTCAAAACTGTCCATGTATCGTATACTTGTGTGTGTCTCAACTGAAGTGTAACTCCCAGGTATAATAGTTCTGTACGTCACCAAGTCAGTCAGTGATAGACAGGATAGAAAGCTTGGTGTGATATCACTATCATCTCAGTTAAATAGATCGAGAGGCCTATAAGCTATGAAGTCTCAAGTTTGATGATCGGATGATAGTGCTTCAAGAGGAGACAGACAATTGACTAAGTACTTAAGTATGCACCCACTAAAGGTACAGCTACTAATAAGAATATTTATCGGTCACTTTGCACCAGTGCACCAATGTAGTGCATAGGTTCTAGAAGTGACAATTGTTGACGTTTCAGTTTATTACATTATCTTGCATTTAGGGTTGTATGTAGGCATGAAAAGGATGAATAGCAGGTGAAAACAACTGGAAACGATTGTTCAGGACAGATTTAGATGGAGAATGGTGGTGAGCGGCCTATTCTCCTCTACGAGCGGTAAGGGGCTTAAGTTAGTGGGTAAGGATGTTGGCTAGTAGTGGAATCCAGGTTGTCCGATTAGTCCCATCTTGGGACGCGTCAGCTAAATATGCCTCAATTCCAGATTCCATGTTATTTCCGGAACTCGAACCCAGCACCGTTCGTTACAAACGTCATTATGTTATCCACTTAGCTACTGGGTACAGATAACTACTGGCTTGTACAATGTGGTGAACTTTTATTTCATTTTTATTAGAATTACAAACGGAAATCGGGATAGACTCACCTTACCCTCGGGAAAGTTGTTGATCAACATGTTGGTTTCGTATGAGTGACTCATCGGTGTCAAGAATCAAGTCATATATATTCTGACATTCTCCACCACAAACAATGAGAATGGTTGAAGTTTATTACCAGAATAGTACACAAATCCAAAAACAATTTTGATGAAGTCCTTTTCGTTACAAAATGTTTAGGACCCTTATGTTGCAGAAGAAGCGCATCTGCTCTCCGCTTCAATCAATCAAATGTTGAAGCGACAATGGAATTATTAACAAAATCTTCTACCTGACCAACAGAACATGGGGATCTGGATGCAACGAGCAGATTTTTACACCATATTGCATGCAATCAGGTAGTAGGTGTATACGTAGCAAATGGAAGCTACAATCATAAATAATACCATAGCGACTGCTTCTCCATCAAACAGTGTGCTCAATAATAAGAAGAGGAGAACAGTTACTAGCAGTAGCATGCAGGACACGCTCTTCATCTTATTTTGGTCACGAGGGTCTGCGTACGTTTGCGTGGTCAAAATACATGAGCAATGGAATTCGTATGGATGTTGGTCAAAGTTACTGGGGTGCTGAACGACGAAAAACCAAGTTGGTTCAAATCAAAATTAGTGGATATTACAAGTCAGTACGTTACAACACCAGTCCCGCAATCTTAGTTGTTGACTAAAGATCATCAGTAAGCATTGAGTAAATTTATGAATGACGAAACAATATTACTACTTCGTCCAGATAAGGGTTCCGTTGTAGTCATGCTAAACAGGGATATATACATTGGAAAAGTAACGTCCGTTTTAAATGATTACACTGGGTTTATCACCCTCGACTTGCTCTTGAACACATACATATAGTTATTATTGATAACCTTTGTCATTTTAATCTTTTACATTCACTAATGCCAATTGTTTCCCACTACATCTTACCTCAATGTAAGAAATTTTAGTACATACTTGGTTGTAAGCAGCTGATGAGAAACCACGAAATATAATCAATTCGCATTATTCTGCATCCATGTTTGTTCTGGCTTTATTTCAGTTCATAAAGCGAACTAATTGCACGGAATGTTAAGGAGATCTATCAGTTGGTTTTATCAAACTTGTGAAACCGCCGCACTCATTATACGGGCGAAAAAATGAAAAGGTTTAAAAAGAGAAGTAGAGCTGATTGTTTAAAGGTGGCGAACTGTCTCAAGCAGGGTATTTCTCAACATGATCAGGATTGTTTATCAGACGACTTATTAGTGGTGTGAATATATACTGACAAGATCAACATCAATGTCGGACGACTACATAGTTAGTTACCAAACGTATCCAGTTAGCATGATACATTCCAGGAAATCAACAAAAGGTTTATTATCTATATTATGTAGTTTGTCCAGTAATATTTTGGATACATTTCAGAAGATAAAATCAAATAACAACTATCTTTTGGACGGCAAATTACTGTGAGATACCAAATAAGGAGATTTCATCTTGTAAGGGTTTTTTAAGGTAGTAAGTGATACATTTGATCAAAGTTTCAATTGCTTTTTCTATACTCCTTCACCGGAAGTCGTTTGGCGCAGTCGTTGTTAATGACGCTTTCGTGTCTTTCAAGTCTAATAATGGTGTAAATCTTAGTTGGCAGTTATTTCCATTTTGGTATGTAAATAAAATAAATGTCGATGTGTCTTGTTGAATTTTATTTTGCTGAAGCGTGCACAGACCTTGTTAGTAGATTCATTTGCAAGTGTTTCGATCACCTTCTATTTCAGGTCTATATTATTGTATGGATAAAGTGCATTCACATGCTCTATACTCTTATTCTGATATCAATAAATTATCCCCATTAGATGTTGATATGACCGTCATAAACAATTCAGATTCTGACAAGAGTGGCGTTTTACTGGATACATGGTCTGTGAAACATTCCAGTGATTTAGTTTCAACCCCGAATGATCTGGTTTCCCTGGCATGGCTTCAGAAGAGAGATATTCTACAGATAGCTCCGTTAGATGGAGAAGACGATGGTGGAGATTCTGTTAGTTCGCCGGTCACTGGACGACCAGAGGATGAAGATAATTTCGAGACCAACCCTATCTTGCACATGGGTTCGTTGGAGCCTGTTCACCGTTCACCTTCACTAGTGCCTGTATCACAGTTTTCAGTCCTAGACAGATGTGTCCGACGTCCTGCCTCGGTTTCTGGAGAACAGCTCTCTCATAGCGAACAATCGCGTTTCTCAACAAACCCTACTGTCGCCCTTGGCACCCATGGTCTTACAAAGCCAAATTACAGCTATACGCACCTTATATTTATGGCAATCGAGTCTACTCCACAAAAATGCATGACTGTCAATCAAATTTACAACTGGTGCGAATCAAACTTCCCATTTTATAAACATGCTGGTGTTGGATGGAAAAATTCTCTTAGACATAATCTTTCAATCAATAAGTCTTTCAAGCGCCTACCTCGTGATAGTCGTGTAAGTTCAAGTCCTTTTTTCGTTTTTCGTTTTAGGACTAAACTACGAGATTTACCCATAAGCTTGTTTTCTTCCCTTACACAGAATGAACCTAATATCATTTTGAATTGTCGTAGTCTCGATATGCTGTGCTCTCAGAGACAGGAGCATGAGGATCTTGATGATGATGAGGTGATAGAGATTGTCATACGCACAACAAATGCACTTTTTATGTCACTAATATTTCCTGACGCACCCGTGTTACTCGTGTCGTATCGTATTAATTGTCAAAATTTATGTAAAAGCTTGTTGTTGTGTAGATAGATAACAGCTTCTGTTGCTCACATCTCACCTCTTCTACCTTCTTCCTATCTCCAAATAGGGCCCCGGTCGAGGTGCTTTCTGGACGGTTGAACCTCGTGAACGCGCATCTCTGCTAGACGCTATCAAAAGAAACCCGTGGAACTTTGCCAGTGTGACCGCGATGGGATGTCACTTATCTGATGGTTCTCACAACGTTACTTCTGCATCTGCATATCCAGTTAGACGTTTTGGTCTTGCACATAGCGCTCCTGGTCACCTTTTACGAGCCGAGGGATTGGGAAGAGATAAACTTGAGTCAACCCCACAAATCCGTCTACTGTACACTAGCGATGGTAAAGTCTTGGCAACTTACGATGCTTCATTCATTGATCCCTCAAAGTTTGAATACGATCTGACTGCTGGTAAGGAGAATGCCGCAGTCTTGTCTTCTGATGTCCCTTTGTCCGACATCAGGTATTGGACTTCACCATCTGGAGACACTACCAGCACTGATGGTGCGACGGCCAAAGTTGAATGGCCGGCTGAAGAAGAGGAGAAGTATTTGGATACTTTACGCTTATTAAATGAAGGAGAGGAAAAAGTCACAGAGTCACAATCAACTATAACAGAACCTTCAGATGAGAATTCAATGAGGTAATTCCCCCTAAAATTTTACCTTGTATACGGCTTGAAAGTTCTGGTTTATCCACCATTTACTTGAGTTTTTGTTAGTGAGGTTTTAGCTTCAGCTAGCTCTGGTCCAAGGAACAAGGTCGCTTTATCAAAGATCTTAAAACAAGACCTTGACCAGCTTTAAGGTTAATTGTTGATTAATCTATTATAAAAATTCATGTCAGCTGCATAGCAGTGTCATTTTCAACTCTTTCCTAGCATGTCACTTATTCTCTTCGATGTGTATAGTTGTATCGAGTTAGTTATATTTACCAGCTTAATAGTTAGGGAGATTTAACTGTCTGTATCTGTTATGCCCTTGCGGAAGGTCACTTAGCTTGTTGATGTCGAAACCTAATGGGTTAAATCTCAACCTTACAAGAAGCCTTCACTTTTTAACTTCAGTCAGAACTTCCTAAATACAGTAGAACACGTTTATGATCACGTTTTTCAGCGATTGGTAAGAATGCGAAATTTCTTGATCTATTGATTTCCATGCCACGACGGGTTTTGGATAGAGTGCAAATCAATCATTAAACGAGTTACAATTATGTGGAAATGTTCGTTAAAAGTTCGTGTACACCAAGTACACATAAATGTTAAGCAGTGTATGAGAACATTTTTATATCAAAGTGAACTGTAAATGTGTTGTACACTCGGCACATTGGTTTTATACGGTTCTTAGTAATGGAGTGGAAAGTTCGTTTAGTACCTGGCAATTGTCAATGCCTAAAACAATGTTGGGGCGGAGTTGAACATCTTGATAAACCTTGTACGTATATTACAATCTTAAGTATAGGTTAACGAATAGTTACATTGCTAACCTTTATTTTTAAGGACTTGTACTACATCTGGTAGTCTGAATCAGAGTAACTAATATATCCTTGAAATTAGCAAAATAGTCATTTTATTGTTATTTGGGTCATTAGTTTATAATATACTATGGTAATTTGTCCGAATGAGCATCACTGAATACCAAGTTAATTGGATTTCATCGATAAGTTTGTTGAGAATGAACCGAGGAAGGTCGACCATATTTGGCTGGGTTTTGGAAAAGTGTCGTTTTCAGCTATTTTTGTCCTACGAATGGGCTTGTAATTTTACAATTATTGTCTTTTTCTTGTTTTGTCATTTTAATAAACATTCTTATCCACAATCTTTTTTATGTATAGTAAAGCGAAGTCTGAAGCTTTGGAAAGTAAGTCTTTTTCAGCCTTATATTGTTTGATATCTTATTTAATACCCACAGTTTTTTCTTCATATCACTTTATATAGTTGAAAAATGTTCAAGTATAGGCTCATGCTGAAAGATTGGCTAATATTTACATGTTCTTAACTACACTTTACCTTAGTAGTTTCGTGTCTTGTAGTGTTAAATTTCAGGTATCTTACAATACAACTGTAGCAACAAAAACTACCAACTTGAACCATGTCTTATTTATTTATTTGAAACAAATATTGGTACAAGGGGGCACCAGATATAAATGCACCCCACAAAAGATTGTCATTTCATATAATTGTGTAAGGGCTATGGTGCTGTCCTGGTACCCAGACCGAAGCAGGTGGTTTTCTTAGAGAGCCACACCCCGAGCCTTTGGCCTAAAGGTCTGATCCACAAGGCAGTGGAGCATCATAAGGAGGTGCAATCACATGGTAGCCGGTGACCGACGATTGGTTCATACGCCATTTGTTCCCTCGGGATACTGGAGCCCACGTGCACCATTGGTTTAGAATCAGGGTTTTCCAGCTCCAAAGTGACCACCGTTCACATATTGTTTACTATGATCCTGATTGTCAGTCAGTCAGCTACAACGTAGGACCAGGCACACATATGCATCGGTCCAAGTTGCCATATCTCGTTAGCACAACAAAATGAACACCGGATTCATAGAAATAGTTAATTTAGTGATGGTAGTATATAAAAGAAAGGTTGTATATAAGGACATAGTACAGGAAGGAAGAACGTTATGAAGCAATTTTAATCTTAGGGTTTAAGGGAAGATAAAGAGTGTATACACCTACACCATTGTGATCGATTCTGAGCCATGTCATCTAGAGTCTCCAACCATTGGTTACGATAGTCACGCGGACCCCAACCAGGTAGTCTGCACCTACCAACATGGCTCAGACTAGAAGTTAGTGACTTCAAGCACTGATGCCACGTCTTGGTTTGGGCGCCCCTAACTCTTTTCCAACCATCCCCAACACAAGTCAGCATAGCACGTCGTGGTAATCGGTGTTCAGGCACGTGTAACACGTGACCCAACCATCTCAGTCGATGAAGATTCATGACCTCATCAACTGATTTACCATCATTCCCAAATACCCTGTGTCTAACCTCACTATTACTTACCCGATGATCCTAACAGATGCGAGCAATATTTCTAAGGCATCTGTGGTCAAATACTAGTAACCTAGCCATGTTTCTCAGCCGTAAAGTAGAACAGAGCAAACTGCCGCGCAGTATACTCGTCCCTTAATTGATAGACGGACGAACATCTCGTCTTCGCCATAGGTGACGTAAGTTGGCAAAAGCCAAACGAGCTTGTTAAATCCATGCAGAGATTTCATCAGACACCAACCCATTAGGGCTGATCAGACTTCCAAGATAAGTGAAGTTATCGACGCGTTCGACTACTTTATTCCCTATCTCTAGTTCAGGTGTTGATGCAGGCCAGTCCTGGAGTAACAATTTACAATTAGATGGGGAGAAAAGCATCCCAAACATCCTGGCATTATTACTCAGTTCTAACAGAAGACTCTGCATTTTGTCAGCGTCTTCACCAAACAGGACTATGTCATCTGCGTATTCTAAGCCGATTAGTGCACCACCTGGTAGGAGATCAATTCCTGAAAATTTAGTCAAAGAGAGTGTTATTTCCAGCAACAGGTCTACAATGAAGTTAAACAAAAATGGGGATAGTGGACAGCCTTGTCGGACACCACTTGAGGTTGTAAAATCATATGACAGTTCACCATAAGTTCTCACTGGACTAGTAGTGTTCGAGTAAAGAGCCTTCACAAGGTTTATGTACTTCTGAGGTACACCATTCAATGACAGACACTGCCACAGAGCCTCTCGGTCTACAGAGTCAAATTCTGCTTTCAAGTCAAGAAAAACTATCATTGTCGGACGCCGATAAACATGCCTGTGCTCTAAGACCTGACGAGTATTGAATATGTGGTCGATGCAGTCATGACCAGGTCTGAAACCAGCCTGATTTTCTCGTGTTTGCAGTTCACGAGTCTTAGTTAGGCGCCCGATAATTATTGAGGCTAGTTGATCCTGATTGAGTTGTTCAGTGTCTATTGTTTGGAGTTTATTAATTTCGAAAACTGCATTTCACAGTTTTAAAATATTACAAACCAAGCTGGTGCGGATTGTGTCCACTCTCTTCTAAATCAAATCCGACACCGCCTACTCCATGTTAGCCAAAGTCGAGTGTCTGGTTTGGGATTTCATCCATAAGAATTAATAAGAATTTAGCATTGAGTGAGAACGTCAGGTTAATTAATTACGTCACTCTGTATAATCAAGATACAACTACACAAACAACATTTCATGTCAGAAGAAAACCTCGTCAGAACATTGCGGTATTATTACTCAAGATGCACATACGACTGCGCTTTGTTAGTTCCTTCGTAAAACAAGTCAGTACTCTGAGTCAGTTGAAAAGTAGCCAAAGAATAGATAAGGTCTACTTTGCTCTTTCTCTGTGATAGTCACACTAACGGCCGAATTTTTAGTACCCGCCTTCTCGATAACTTTGTACAGTTGTCTACTATAGTAGTAGTTTTTGCCTGTTATCTTCACCTTTAACGAAATGTATTTAAATTAGGCGTATTTTTTCCCTATAGGCTTTATTGGTACTCATATTTTGGATGATGCGAAACTGGTCACCAAACAGAAAAGAAAGTCACGCTTGTTGCCAACCCGTATAAGTAAGTTTGTATATGTAGATGCAGTTTTCAGACGCTTCTGTGCTCAATTCAAGTTCATTCATTTATAACTGCATGGTTCTTTTAATGATTATAAATTCAGTGCTACATACTATAGCTGCAACACAACTCAGTTTGCCGTGTTCCATGAATAAGGCTTTTGGTTAGGAAGAGTAATCGTGAATCGCCCTGGAGTTTAAAACTTATTACTTTGTACTTCTCAACAGCATTTTTTTGAACATCTATGTTCATGTTGTTGCGAATAGGTGATCACTACTACTTCTCACTTTTAATAGAATCTCACCAACTTGTCTAACTTAATAAATGGGCGATTTTTCACTATGAAAATAACCAGGAGGAAATACCATGTGTCCTATTCAAGTAGAACTTAGATTAGGGCTTTTAAATATCAGGTAAACGTTAATCGCAGATAGCATTCAGTTAATCTAGCAGGTATATTTTAACCTTGCCCTACTTGATGAAGCGCTAAAATTACCACAGTGGGACGTGAGTAGACTCTTATTTTAATACTATCCTCGCAAATTGATCAATGAATAGTAACGTCTTTGAAGTCTTAAGTACTCTCTTGGATTTTATGTAGATCTTCGTATAAAAAAGGTCTTCATGTATGAAATATATTATGTTTCTTCAACCTAATAATCACCATGTTATATTTGTCTCCTATAGGGAAGTGTAACGAGTGTAAGGAAAATACATCTGGTTGTGAATCCTGTCTGGCTAAGCGTTATGAGGTCCTTAATAGCAATTACGTTCGTTCGGCGCTCAAAGAATATGACCTTGACATTGGCAACATGTTGGACTGTGATCAGGAACAGGGGCCCGCTGGTGGACCACTTGTTAAGACAATAACTACTAGGATTTCTAAATCTGCTTCACCAGTTGCCGAGGAAAATGAAAGTGATGTAGATTCATGTGACGAAAAACCAGCCAACCCTGAAACATTAATTTATTCGTCAGATGAAGTTTACGTCACACCACCCCCGTACATTGACCATGAATATTCTCACTGCCAAGCCCAACTACGCCGACCTGAAGAAAATCAGCTTGTAAATAAATTTAATGACAACTACTATACAAGTAGACTGTCAGAATTAATGAACCTCTATCCGCTTCTCAAAGCTTTTGTGGATTCCATAGTTCTAGAAACAGATGCTAATTATGAGGCAGATGAATTTGACGACGGCTTTAGTTCATCAGAAAATGATATATACAGTGAAGAGGACTTTGATGAGGAAAATCGTGAATTAAAGGACTCGGGTATTCAGGATCTTTGTGATTGCGAATATACTTTTTGCAGACGGAGCTCTCGTCGCCGGCATCCAGTTTCACCGTACTACGAATCTCGTAAGACACGTTCATTTAGAATTCCGTCTCGTGGTGTTAAGCAGCGTAAGGGAACCAGATCAATGAAATTGTCTTCATTAAACAGTTGTCCCACCCGAAGATCCAAACGAGTTATAAAGGCTCCTCGCCGTCCATATGATGACTTTGAGAGATCTCAATACTATAATTATGAATTAGATGATGAGTCAAGAATATTGATTTTTGATGGAAGGGAAGGAAATTTCGGTTCCAGCGCTCAATCTAATATGATGGAACGTTACGGTCGCCACTCACCTAATAGTCAGTCAGATATTGATTCAGAAAGTGCTGAGAAATCTATGGATATTGAGAATAGTCGATATCGCTATCAAAATCATTACCAATCATTAAAACGTGCTCATCAACCTATTTCAGGTACTCAGCCACACTTAGACAACATCGTTGGTCGTTCGTCTCCTGATTTGGAGGACTATGATTTTAGTTCTGATCAAGAAGAAAGTTATTTACGTGCTGCTTCCACATTACAAGTAAGAAAAAACGGGACAACCTTCAGTTCATCCCATCCACTTAGCAAACGATCTCAAACAAAAAAGCAAGAAACACATCTTGATGTCGCCGATGGTTGGAATTCTATGAAGTGGCCAGTTGGGCGGAAAATAGATGAATCTTCAATTAATGGTTTAAGGTTAGGAGAAAGTCACAACGGTTTTTCTGATGATAAACGAATGATTCAAAGGGAATTAAGTGATAAAATTCAAACCTATAAAGAGACAGTAGAGGAGCCTGTTTTAAAACGAAAGTTAGTTTATGCTTTGAGTATCATAATTGATTCTGTTGTAATTCGTATTTATTATTCCCAGTCCCTAGTTTTTTAAGTGAGTATATATCTGTTTCAAGTCAGTCGTATTATATAGAATCTCAAATAATTAGTTTCTAATATCAGCCTTCACCCCCAAATGCCGTGGTACGGCCGAGAGTGGAGTCCGCTCTCCCTCTCGAAATGCTCCCACATGGCCACGCGAATATATAGCCTCTGCCAGGGAAGTCCTACTCACTGCCTTCTCGTGGCGGCGGTGTTGTTTACGAAATTGAGAGGACGAAAAGCGAATGTCCAGCGCTTTAACCGGGTTGGTGGATATAGAGGATCCACCTAGGGAGTTGGAAAACTTTGATTCCAAACCAATGGTGCACATGGGCTCCAGTATCCTGAAGGAACAAATGGTGTATGAACAAATTGTTGGTCACCGGCTACCATGGGACTGCATCTCTTCGCGATGCTCCACTGCCTTATGGACTAGACCTTCAGGTCAACGGCTCGGAGTGTGGCCCCCTAAGAAAACCACCTGCTTCGGTTTGGGCACCTGAGCAGTATCACAGCCCTCACACAAATCAAATGAGATTTGTGAGGCGCATATTTATCTGTTGCCCCTTTGTACCTATATTTGTGTTGAAATATATAAAAATAAATAAATATGAAAAATTGCAACTAATCAGCAACTACGCCATTGTTATCGATTCTGAGCCATGTCACCCAGAGTCTCCAACCATTGGTTATGATAGTCACCTGGACCCTAACCAAGTAGTCTGCATCTACCAACATGGCTCAGACCACAATTTAGTGACTTGATCAACTGATTTGCCATCATTCTAATACCTTGCAACTAACCTCATTGCTACTTACCCGGTGATCCCAGCAGATGTTGGCAATAATTCTAAGACATTTGTGGTCAAATACTGTAGCTTACGAGTACCTTCTTCTCTTAATAACCACGTTTCATACCCGTAAAGTAAAACAAAGATTTGCTGCTCAGTATACTCGTTCCTTAATTGATAGACGGATATCTCGCCTTCGCCATAGTGGCTTTTTGATTCCATGCAGAGATTTCGTCAGACACCAGCCCATTAAGGCTGATCAGACTCAGTTCTGGAGTAACAATTTACATTTAGAGGGGGGAGAAACCAGCCTGACTTTATCGTGCTTGCAGTTCACGAGTCTTAGTTAGGCGCCCGATAATTATTGAGGCAAGTATTTTAGATGCTATATTAGTCAAACTAATCCCTCTATGATTATCGCAGGATGATTTTAGTCCGTTATATATTGGGACAATCAGAGATTGTGACCAGTCAGATTGGATTGCTTCCAACTCCCAGATTTTAGCTTAAATATCAGTCAACCTAATCGCTGAAATGTGACCACCATATTCAAAGACCTCTGTAGCCAATCTATTAGGACCAGCTGCTCTTCCTCGTTTCACATTAGCTGTAGCCTTTTGAACTTCAACTAGAGTCGGGGGGCTTACTTCAATGTTCCATCCAGACTGTTTGGGAATGGTGACTAACTGTAAAGTAGCTGAAGGTCATCTAAACTGTTCTCTAAAGTGTTCCGCCCATCGTTCTAAACGTCTGGGCTGAGCAGATAAGCGTCGTCTTTTTTCGAGATTGTCTCGCTTACAATTGACTTCTTAATTCCGGTTTCTTTTATTAGTCTGATGTTACCTACAGCCGCTGCCTTTTCCGTCTCTTTTACTTTCGTTGCCCACCACTGCTCACGATCGTTCTGTAGACTTTTGGTTAACCTAGATTTGTTTTGCTTTCGCTCTTCATCGTGTTCGGAGCCTGATGGGATGAATTTACTGGAATCCATCAGTGAAATAGACTTAGAAGAAATCCATTGGTTTTTTGTAACCTTTTGGTTTAAATTACTAATAGGTGTTACTGCTGTTTCAACAGCTGTTCCAAGCAACATCTGATTCAGCCTCGTTCGCGGAATTACCTAAGTGTAACTTTAGTTGTTCCTGGAACTTGCTTTGGCTCTCTTGTTACTGAGTTCAACTCTGACGGGTATTCTTAATGTGGCTTTTCTGCGTCCGTTGAGGCACAAGCAAATACGTGCTAATTAATTGGTTAATAATAAGTTGTGTATTGCAGTCTTTAGTACTGAAAGTTGCAATGTGGTCACCAATTTTAGTTGTTTGACACTAAGCTTGTGTCCATACCTTGCAATGTCGAGTGTAATTACACTTTTTTTATTTCTTTGTATTAGTAAACAGACGGCTGTAGATGCAGCACGATTACTACTGGGATTCAGTCAAATCCAAAATCTCAGACAGAAATCTGAGTGTGTGAATCTGGACACCAGTGTAGCTAGTTCAACATTAGATTTCAAAAGAACATCCATCTCCAATACAGATAGTGCCACTTCTGAATCTATAATATTACAAGAAGTGCCGGCCACTCTAATCTAAAAATGTCTTTTTTCTGAATATATATATATGAGCGTGTATATCATTGAACTTGAATAACTCGTTGATTTCAGGGTTACCTATTCTAGTCTCGTTCGCTCAACGCGAATATTTCAACCCATGACCTGATTCACCTCATCCTGCAATATTAGTTTCGTTTCCATTTTTCATATAATTTCTTCTGTTACAACACGTACGTTACTTTGTTTATTCCGAACACTGCGCCTATTGACAGAGTGCTAATTTTGTTATAGATTTTTCTGTATCAGGTTCACAGCATAAATTATCATGTTGTTTTCATCTTATACTTGTTTATCATGCAAAGTAATTTGTAGCACCCGCATTTGTATTTTATCTAAGTTTTTCAATTTACATGAACCAAACTTCTGTGCAGTATTAACAATGTGTTTGGAGGCTTCTCCTAACTTTTATTCCTTGCTTAAACGAAAACTCCTCCCACATCTTTAAATTAGTGCAATTTCTGAATTCGGTGTGGTTATTTTCAAAACATGCAAGGAAAGTTCGTTTTTTACTGTAATAATCATAATGCGTTGTATATTCAACAGTATTGCATGTAGATGTTATTTGTGTACTTTTCATTTTCACTTTATTTACTGTTCTTCCGGTTATTTTTGGAAGTGCATTTTGTTGATATATTTGTTACTCATCTGTTATACTGGTTTGTATCATTTTTTTCACATTATGTAAATCCATCTACTGGATTCTTTAGATGCAACTCTTAAGTTAAATACTTTGATCAGTGATTTTGAATCATCTGTCAATAACCTAATGTGCAGTATTATTTGTATAGTTTAAGAGAAGTTATCTATTTTAGAATGGTTACTTTTTTAACTGAAAACTATAAGGGTTTTTCATATTATGTTGAAATCGTTTAGAAGTACTTTGTGCATAAATAGAAATAGACCACTTATATCTAGATAAAATACCATTTTTATAAAACTTGAATCCAGTACTCATAGTTCTTCAGACCACCACGATTTTGAAATAATATTGTGCTGATTTGAGTTATCTTATGACGTATTTAGGTAGACTGCATGTATTGGATCAGTTAAAAAGATTTTGTTCCAAAACTAAGTGACTGAACGAAGACCAAAAAATTAGATGACAGTGCAAAAGCTGTGGAAAACGTAATTAGGTCATTCTTGACCCAGTACTTGAATATAAGTTCGTCATTAGCAACGCAAAACTTGACATGAGTGTGCAACTGGTGTTCAAGTCGTTAAATTTCTTGCCAACAGAGTAAGAGGAAATCATACAAAGTGGAACAATGGGAACCTTAACGTCAGAATTATAGTTAGAAACAAACAACGGCAATTCATGGATAGAAATTGCTAACTAACTGAAAACTTAAGAGGACCGCGAATGAAGACCAACATGTCACTGATCGATTTGATTCATGTTATCACTGACCGGCTTCGTTGCAATCGTGTGGGTCCTGAACAGAGAGTTTGGGTTTACTGAAATGATGCAGGCCAGTGATTTCATGGGCTGTTGCCACGTCCTGGTTCATTAATCCCTAATGTAGTAATCTACTTGTATACCACCTGACATTGTACGTGGTGGTTAAAGAATCCAAGCTGAAGGTCATACGCTAACTTTCTAGGAAAACAATAAGTCGTTGAATAGTCAAATTTGAGAATTAGAAACACGAATGTATATATAAGAATATTTTACGATGTATTATAGAAATATTGTTATTAACATTTGTTGTAACGAAGAGGATTAGTTTGCTTCTTTACTCCACAGTTTATAAGTCAGGTCGTGGGAACAGGTTGCAATGTATTTATTGTCTGGTGAAATGTCTGCATAAACAACTTTACTGTTATGTCCTTCGAGCGTTTTGATAGGTGTCCAGATAGGATGGCCCCAAATTTTGGTTGTTTTATCAAACGAACTGGTAACAATATAGTTACAGTTGCGTGCTGCAAATAGAACAAAAGTAGGAAGCATTAAATTCAGCTTACATATAGTAATTACTACTTTTCTCAGAAATCACCACTCAACAGGTTAAAACCGTAATGGAACTGAGTAGTATCGACAACCCTAGGATAGCAGGTAGCGTTTATTCTAGTGCATAAATTTGTGAAGAGTTAGTGAGCTGCATTCGTTTCGATTTAGTCATAGACGAAATATTTTCGGCTTCACACATAGAAAACAATAGTGAGAACAAAGTTGGTGAATAGCATTTTCAAACTACAGTTATGCAAATTAGTAGTGGTAATAGAATAGATAAATCAACTTGATTAAATAAATTCATATCTACGAAATACTCGTCCTACAATTATCTGGGAGTTGTTCTCAAAACGGATAACAGTACTGGCTAAAAATTCCACTGAAATAATCAACTTACATTCAAATCGTACGCTGCTTACAACACTAGTGTGAGCTGGTATTACATAAATTGCTTGTTGTTGTCGTAAATCCCAAATACGAACGGTGTTATCTGCACTAGAAGTGGCTGCGTGATAACCATTATCAGCTACATCTGCGCCCAGCAACTCTTCAAGGTGGCCTTCTAGAAACATAATACAACGACCTGTTCGTAAGTCCCAAACACGAGCATATCCATCCAAACCGGTGGTTAGAGCTAAGGAACCATCAGGGTGAAAAACAACATCATAAACTGGCTTGGAATGACCTTCTTGGTGTAAAATTTCTTCACAAGCCTCTAAATCCCATAAGCGCCATGAGTGATCGAAGCACGTAGTTGCCAGGAAACGTCCAGAAGGATGGAAGGCTAAGCGGGATACTCTGTGAGGCGCGTGACCTTCAATATCGGCCAAAGGTTCTTCATTATCTAAACTCCATAGTTTAACGCTTCCGTCCTGAAATACAAAAATCATGTAGGGTTTTACAAGCATAGTTTCAAAAAATATTTTGTCCAGTATCTGTGAGAGAACTCTTGTAGGTATACCTGAGGAAACAAAAGGCTTATGAACCTATGGTTGGTCAGCGACTACCATGGGACTGCTCCTAACGCTGCTCGGCTGCATTGTAGATTAAACTTTATGTCAAAGCCTCCGCATGTAGCCCCTAAGAAAACCACCTGCTTCTGTATTGGCAACTGGCAATATCAGAGCCCTCACATGAATCAATGATAACTACCACTGCGAAAAAATTGTCTTTTGCTTCAACGCTCTCAGACAAACCTTATACATAGTCATATAATATTTGTTTTATACTCTTTCAACTCATTCGAGTCACTAGCGGCAAGAAGTTTGGTGTGAGTGAAACAATCTGTGAAGATGATGAGATGTCAATCACTAACATCTACCGAGGTCTTGGATGATGGGCAGTTTTTCGAGGAACAGTTCAACTGGTCTGCTGCACCGGCAACATCAATTAAACTGTTCTGCCCTCCATGGCCTATGACGACTGATCCACCAGATGAGGCGGAAGTCTGCAAGGAACTCCAACTCTTGAAGAGCTACAAATCACTGGGCCCAAATGACTTACTTCTGGCCCTTTTTAAAGATGGTGGAGACTTCCTGGTTAATGAACTGATTTTGTTTACAAAGGTTTGAGAGTGTTCCGAAATCGTAGAATGAGTCGTAAATTGTCCCTATTTGAAAAAGGGTTCACGTCGTTCCTGTAACAACTATAGGGGGATAAGTCTACATCCGATTGCGTCCAAACTATAGACTTCCGTCAGGTTGTTCAAAACCCGAGAAAGATTGACTCGTGAGAAGCAGGCTGGTATTCGTTCTGGTCAAATCTTCATCCTCCGCCAAATGTTAGAACACCACCATACATATCACAGGCCAACAATCCTAGTTTTTCTTGACACAAAGGCTGCCTTCGATTAGTTGGACAAGATTGTTCTCTGGGATTGTCTTTTGAAGAAGGGTGTATCTGAGAAGCTTACTAAGATCTTGAAAGCCCTATATACAAACACCTCAGACAGAGTGTGTGCATAAAACCACCTCTCTCCATTGCTCCATTCAAGCAGTGGGGTTAGACAGGGTTGCCCAATCTCGCCACTCCTCAACTTTGCTATCAATGACGTCCTGGAGCAGCTCTAATGGATGTAAGCAATTGTGGGGTGGATCTGTTGTCTGGAGAAACACTCCGACCTTGAGTATGTGGATGATGTTGTCTTACTGTGCGTTGATACTCAAGACGTGCGATCCATACTCAATCAGTTGGAAACCAGTATCCGTAGGTATGGTATGTGTTTAGCATTGTCGAAGTGCAAATTACGTTTACTAGACTGGCAGGACCCTAGTCCTGTACTCACCCTAGGTAGTGAGCGGATAGAAGTAGTCGAGAAGTTCGTATATGAATAGCTGCGTGAGTGATAAGATCAACGCACATACAATGAAAGCTAGAGCGGCTTGTGCCAATCTGGGATCATCTTTGGCGCGTTCGTGATGTTAGTCAGGCTGTAAACGGTCGGGTCTACAACGCGTCAATGAGAGCAGTTTCGCTCTATGCTTGTGCGACCTGGCCTCTTTGAGTTGAGGATGTTAGACGACTCTCTATGTTTGATCATCATTGTCTCCGAAGGATTGCTGACATCCAGTGGCAACACCATGTTAGTTATGCAGATGTTCGCCATCGGGGACATTGACGATAATTCAGTTGGTGTCACTATTTTGAAACATCGACTTTAGTGGCTTGAACATGTATTAAGAATGTCGTCCCAGAGAATTCCTCGTCGTTCATTATTTTCCGACGGTGGGACCGGTTGGAAGAAGCGGACAGGTGGTCGGTGCATGACATGGTTTCGTGGTGTAAAAGAAAGCCTTACATGACTGGCTTCTGATGGACCTTCACGACTTCCTGGTTGGGGCCCTAGAGATGACGCAACACAGTGGCTATAGATGTTATCAGATATGGCTCAGAATAGAAGCCAGTGATGATCATGTTGTAACCTTCTCTTACTTTCTTCATAAAAATGAACGTAACTTCTTTGACCGAATCCTCTCTGGTTGTATTTTTGCTAACTTGACTGTTTCTCACATTGTCGTTATTATTATTTCATTCTCATACACTAATTTCTGTTCGTTGTTGTTTTATCATACGCGCTTCACGTTCTCTATCTCTTCATAACCGCATTGTTATTGTGCGGCGCATATATATTTGGTTCCCCTTTGTACCAATGTTTATGTGTTCACAAAGTGAACAGATTTAAGTAAAGTCAATTTTCAAAATATTTTCTACCACCTAAGTGCCAGTGATAAAACAGTAAATCATGTAGTAAAAAATTGAGTAAATTTAATGACTAGCCAGTAAAAAGTCAATGGACAATAATACAACTCAACTTTCTGAAGCGTAGGTATCAAAATTTGAGGATGTCAGCAGAGATTATCATCAAATGAAAAATGTCACTAGCGACAAGTATTTCCGAACATGTAAGTGATCAATTATTCATATTTTCTGAAATTTTTGCTTGTGCAAAAACTAATTAATCAATAATATTTAATGTTCAATTGTGTTCGTTGAAGTAGATATTACTGTATTTTTCTTTTGACAAAAGTGACTGGTTTATATATAAACTTGTAAGAGTTTGTAGGTATCATTACCATCTCTGAAGAAGTGGCTACACTGAGTCATGAAATTTAATTTTTCTACTCATTGGTATATTACAAATATATTACTTCTATTTATTTTGTTAGAATTGCACAACTTACTAGACAACTCTATATGCTGGTTTCATTTATAATTATGAATAGATTTACCAAAGTTAGGCAGCAACAGCATCTTAACTGAGAGTTTTTAAACTAATTTGTCGAGTGCTTTACCATATGGACAACGTGACTCGCATTGAAATTAGACTTTAATTTTTATGCAAATTAGCTTAATAATCTTAGATGATAAATAAAACATAGTTTTTTATGCGATAATAGATTATAAGCACGGATTTGGATCAGACATTCAATCGTAATGAGAATGAGTGTTTCAAACTCAAATCTTTAAAATAAGACTAGTCTCAACATTTCGCAGATATATCGAATATATAAGTAGCAATAATCTTAGGACCAGTACTTCCGAGGAGTTTGTGCTAATTAAAAATAGATTAGTTAACCAAAATACACTATATTAAACAATTTAACTACTGATAAATCAGTTGATTCCTTTTTCTATTCTAACTTGATATGAATGAGCACAAGGGTGAACAAAAACGAGAAAAGACAATTTATTTTTTAGCAGTAAATATGCAGAATGATGATACAACTATGTATGGTAAAAGAGGTCAGAATTATGAATGTAATCCATCATTCTAAGACATGTGTTACGTATGCCCATCCGCCAACTACCTCGATACGTGACGATGGCTGGTATAGGAACAAATTGGAAGAAAAGTAGATGTGGCGAAATCACAACATGACATCAGTTCACGAGGGCACTGACTATTGAACTGGGCCATGCAAGTAGGTGGAAATTAATTGGTTGCGATTTAAGTGACTACCGTAACCAACGATTAGAATACGCGTTACGTGGCTCAAACTCATTTGCAATGGAGCAGATGGATTCACCCTTTGTCTTCCCTTAGATCATGTGTTGCCGAATTTCCCATAAATTTCTATTATTTCACTGATTTATAATTTCTTGAATTTCATCTTCTATGACTGATTTTTTTTATTACAACTACAACTGTGGGATTTCGCCCTAACAATTTCACCTCACTGTGCCTTTGAGCTATAGCAATCTGAATGAATGTACACATGTGAAATATTTTACGTTGAGTATGACTGACATCCGAGTAGATAATGCCTTGAGGTTGTTATGACGGGGTAAAATTTAAGCTTGATAATTAGGCATTAATTTTGTTAGAAAGTCAAGTACCTATAGTTGTTATATTCTTTATTCGTTTATTAGTTAAACGAATCCTAACCATACTTATGTTCAATATTTTGTATATGACCGTGTTGTTTTGTTAGGAGAAAAAGCCCATTCTACTGGGAAGCTATCTAGTGTCTGTGATATTAGTTCAACCGAGGATTAACGTTAATAATTTGGTCTCATAAGCAATTATCACTTGCCTAAACTGCATCACTGAATATTGTCAATTGATCGGCGTATTACATTTGTTAGTTTATATTGGGATATTCACAAGAATATCCCAAAAATTATCTCGAATGTAAAGTGGTATGTTTTCAGTCTCTTCACATATTTTACAGGTTATTTCCTATTGGCCATTATTACAGTTGTCCTAACTATGACTTTCATGTGTCTTTTCCCTATTGGTCAATTTTGAGTTGTCCTAATTATAACCTTTAAGTGTCCTTCCTTTCCATTGGTTACTGTTAATAGTCATCGTAACTGTATAAATATGCATTGTCTGTAAACCATTTTTGTTCTGCTGCTGGTCCCATAAACAATTCTCATTTGACGGCTGTGTTCTGATTTATTGGAGTTGGGTAACAGTATTGGGGTCGAACTAGGATATCTGAATTTGGTCAACCGGTAGAATTTCGTGGTCTTATCGCAATACGCAATAATTTCGCGACGTAACAGTTTAACAATCCCCAAACCAATCCATATTAAGATTATATTTAATTGAAAAATTTGACGATAAGAAGAAATTAACCTGACTGAGTTTCACCAATCGTCGACCATCGATAATCTGCCAAAGTACAACTGAACTAGCACGGTAAAACTTACATATTTAAAGGTGTTATTCGTAAATTGTGCAGGTAACCAATATATCGTCAAGTATCTAGTTTTTAAAAACTCCACCTTTAGCTCTTCTAGGGCTACTGCCAAACCCAAGCCCACGTAAAAAAGGAGGGTTGGGCGTTAAGTTGGCAACCCAGTTCCGTAGAAGATAACCTTGCTAAAAAGAATAAACAATTTTAACTCTGCCCTGGGAGTTGAAGGAAGAATTATGACACCTCATGATGAAAGACGAAATTCTTCGGAAGTCACGAGGCCGATGCTCCTTCTAACAACAGAGCAACAATTTTTATTGGTACATGGAACTTCAGGACAATCTGAAATACCGGGAGGACCAGTTAAATGGCAACGGAAATGAGGAGATGCAACTTTATCGTAATGTGAATCAGCGAAATCCATTTGACCCATGCTAGACAGATTAGGTTAGGTACGAGAGAGATGCTGCTGAGCTCCGGTCACGAAGAAGAAAATGCTCCACATACTCAAAGAGTTGCTCTGATGCTGTCCAAAGAAGCACAAAATGGGTGGGAAATGGATGGAAATCTCATGGATCTACGATCATGAAAGCATCACAGTGGAAAAAGCTGCAACAGAAGGAAATATGAAACAACTATATGGCACGACGAAAAAACTGGTAGGGAAATATGATAAACTAGAAAGAACGGACAAGGACAACGAAGGCAAACCAACCATTGAGATTCAGGAACAGAATAACGGATGGATAGAACACTTTGAGGAACTCTTGAATAGGCCAGCTCCATTGAATCCACCGGATATCGAAGCAGCACACACAGACCTTCCCATAGATGTCATCCCGCCAACGATCGAATAAATCAGCATAAGTAACAGACATGTCAGCAGTGGGGAAGCAGCAGGACCACACAACATACCGACTGAAGCACTGAAGTCAGACATGAAAGTAACTGCAGTGATGCTCCACGTTTTATTCAGGAAGATTTTGGAGGAAGAACAAGTGACGATGGATTGGAAAGAAGGATGCCGCGTCAAGATACCAAAGAAAGATCTGAGCAAATGTGAGAACTGTGGAGGCATCACACTACTTTCGTTACCAGGAATGGTTTTCAACAGAATGTGGCCAGACCGAACAAACTTCGCAGATGACCTGGCTCTTCTATCTCTTACACACTGTTGGGGATGTCAAATCCCCAGAACTCACTTGGTAAATGGCTTAATTTTGTAATTTTATTTTGAAAATTTGAATTTCCTTGTTTTTGTGCCAAAGGCGCTCTTTTCACCTTCAAGTCGTATTTCCCACTTGTAAAATATCTTAAATGCTATTGGTCTGTGCAGGTAATCAATATATCGTCAATTATCTAGTTTTTTAAAACTTCGCCTTGTCACAGGAGGACTTTTGTCCTTTCTTATAGACTGGCACAATCAATGATGGGGACCAGTCAGATGGAATTACGTCCAGATCCCAGATTCTACCTAAGACCTCAGTCAATCTCGTTGCTAGTACTGGACCACCATCCTCAAAAATCTGAGGAGTAAACCTGTCAGGGCCTGCGGCTCTCCCTCGCTTTAGATTTCCTATAGCTTTTTCAACCTCGTTAAAAAAACCTCGTAGGTCAGTGTATGACATGGTGTCGTGGCATGAAAGAGAGCTGCAAAGGGCTAGCTTCCGTTGGTCCTTCACGACTCCCTGGTTGGGGTCCGACAGATAGTGCAACACAGTGGCTAGAGACGTTATCAGATATGGCTCAGAATAGAAGCCAGTGGCGATCCTGCTGCAACCTTCTTTTACTTTCTACATAAAGAATGGTTCTAACTTTCCTAACTGAAAGAGTCTTCTGGTTGTGCATTTCAGTCCGCCTTATCTTTTCATCCCTTCTCTTGCTACTTTCATTATTTTGTGTGGCGCATATGTATCTGGTGCCCTTTTGTACCAATATATATGTGTTTAAATAAATAAAATAAATATTGGTCTGTTGTATCTTTGAGTGTGCTATTTTGAAATGCTGCTCAATTACAATTTATCGCTGTATATATACGTTTGAATTTTTCCCCTTATGATTTTCTTGTACTCGGCTGCTTACGGAATATATATTCCCCTACTTCGCCTTGGACTTCTTCCTCTAGTTAGCGGGGCCTGGGACAACGGATTAGATTAGCCTATCGTGTCACTGTATAATTGGCCTTCGTTCGTTACCGAGAAAATCGACTTAGCTCAAACATATCACACACGAACAAATGCAGCTGAAGACAACCAGTGAAGAACAAGCCTTTGCAGCAGTACGCCTCAACATACACAAGGGAAAAACCAAGATCCTTAAATACCACCAACCCAGTCATACTTGATGAAGCAACTCTGGAAGAGATGGAAAGTTTCATGTACCTGGACAGCATCATCAATGAACAAGGACGATCCGATGGAGATGTAAAGGCGATAATTGGCAAAGCAAGAGGAAACTTTCCTACAGTTGAAGAACATATGTCAAAGTGAAAATCTTCAATACGAACGTCAAAACAGTCCTACTGTATGGAGCTGAAAATCGGAGAACTACCACAACCATCGTTGAAAAACTACAAGTATTTATAAACAATTGCATACACAAGATACTTAATGTCCGTTGACCGGATAGCATCAACAACAGCCTAATTTTGTATAGAACAAACCAGGTTCTAGCTGAGGAGTAAATTAGGAAAAGACACTGGAGGTAGATAGGATAGGAAATCATCAGATTGCACCACAAGGCAAGCGCTTACTTGGAATCCTGAAAGGAAAAGTAAAAGATAAAAGCCGAAGAACGCACTGCTCTGAGAATAGGAAGCAGACATGAAAAGGATAAATAGAGCCTGGAAAGGATTGCCAAGGTCAGAGTTGAATGGAGAATGATGGTGAGTGATCGAGGAGTAACGGGTATAAGTAAGTTACCTAATTTTTGAATCGGGAAGAAACTAAGATATGCCTTATTTTAAGGAATATTGAAAAATATGAATTAAGATAAGTCAGCTATGACATGAAATACATAACGTTTAATAATAAGCTCTGAGATAATCTTTTATCATAAACATTACTTGTATAGAATTGTCATGAAAAATAGATTTCCCATACATCTCTTGAAAAAAACACAATATAATAGACACAAAAATATAAATAACATACTTGAGCTGAGCTGGCAAGTGCTAATTGTTGTTCCGACTGGAGACCAGCTTGAGGATGCCAAACAATAGCACAAGTTGGTGCAGTATGCCCACGTAAATTCATAACTAAATTACAATCAGGAATAGACCATAAACGACATAGACCACTCCAAGATGATGTAGCTAATTGTTTACCATCAGGTGAAAAGCGACACATACTTAATGGTCGAATATCTCCAACTTGACTGCATAGCAAATTTGTGTTCTACATCAGAAATTCCAGAAAAAAGTGCTTCTCAGTATGAAAGATTACTTTTCAAGGTTTTGAATAACTGATGACAGTCCTAAGAAATACGAAAAATTCGTGATGGTATCTCCTGCCAGTTTCCATTCAAATTTGCAGGATTGCTTCTTCAGGGTAATATTAAGAGCTAATGAGAACGTTTGTAATCTTAAAATCAGTCAGTCAGCTACAACGTAGGACCAAGCACATTCATGCATCGGTCCAAATTGCCATACCTCATTAGCGAGCAATATTTCTAAGATAGCTGTGGTCAAATACTAGTAACCTACAAGTATCTTCTACTATTAATGGCCATGTTTCACAGCCGAAAAAGTAGAACAGAACGAAATGCTGCGCAGTTAGTGTTATGCCTGAACTAAATCGATTCCGCGGTACGAACGAAAACCAAATGACACAATGACACGATAAGCTATTCTAATCTGTTGTCCCAGGCCCCGCTAACTAGATGAAGAAGTCCAAGGCGAGTAGGGGAATATATATGTATTCCGCAAGCAGCCGAGTACAAGCAATCAAATAAGGGAAAAAGTCAAGCGCATTTATACAGTAACAAATTGTCCTTGAGCACCATTAGTAAATAGCACACATAAAGAAACAAAGGACCAATAGCGGTTAAGATAGTTTACAGGTGGGAAATATGACGTGAAGGTAAAAGAGCGCTTTTGGCGCGAAAACAGCTAAATTCAAATTTTCAAAATAAAACTACAAGATTAGGTCATTTACCAAGTAAGTTCTGGGGATTTGACATCCCCAACACCTCCCCTTTTTAGTAACGGACATTCTTTGGGTCCACCTGCATTCTAACTGTCTGTCGCCGTTGGCGCAGTGACCATCTTCGGGACCGTAGATCGACCTTTTGGTCTTCTTCATGCGTTGGGACTGCCGGCAGATTAAATGTATCCAATAGTACGTCCAGCGGAATCTTTACTTCGGTCGATGGGCGCTCTGGTGTTAACCGCTTGCGTAGTTGATTTCGATGTCTGGTCCATCTGTCCGTTCCTACCTCAACCTCATACATGACTTCTCCCATCCGTCTAACCACACGTGCTTCGATCCAAGGGTCACGATTTGCTCTGTAGTCCCGAGCGAATACTGGGCATCCAACGTTGTACGTGGGTAGCTTCCGGGACGTGGTTTGTATTAGTGGTGGTGTGGATTTCGGCAGCATCAAGTTGTGAATGGTCCTCAGCCGTCTTCCCATGAGGATCTCTGCGGGGGACTTCTGCTCCGGCAGCGTGTCGTTGGGGGTCGTTCTGTAGGCAAATAAAAAATTCTGCAGTGTTTCCACTGGCGTCCCCTCCCCTTTTGACTTAATCAGAGCCCTCTTGAACGTATCCACGAACCTTTCCGCTTGCCCATTCGATTGTGGGTGGTAAGGTGGGGCGCGAAGATGCCTGATGGTTAGGCGTTTGCAGAACTCTTGGAACTGCGCCGAGGCGAACTGCGAACCGTTGTCGGATACAATCACTTCCGGTAATCCGTTTCGTGCGAACAACTCAGTCAAATGTTTCAGAGTCTGGGTGGTCGTTGGTGGAGTGACGGGAACAATCTCCGGCCATTTTGAGAAGGCGTCGACCACGACAAGATATGTGGTTCCGTTGACTGGACCGGCAAAGTCGATATGTATCCTAGACCAGGGATGCTCAGGCTGTGGCCATGGGACCGGCGGTACCTTCGCATTGGACTTTGCAGCTTGTTGACACTGAGCACATTTGTTTACTAGGTCCACGATATGCTGGTCCATGAGGGGCCAGTAAGCATAGCTTCTGGCGATGGATTTCATACGCTTTATGCCTGGATGACCAATGTGGAATTGCTTCAGCACCCTCGGTCGTAGGGATTCTGGCACGACCACTCTATCTCCAAACATCAAGCATTCATTTACGACACATAATGAGTCACGACGATGGTAAAGCTGCTTCATGTCACCGTCAAGTTCAGTTGATGGCCAGCCATTGGTGACGTAGTTCATCGTTTTCTTAATGACGGGGTCGTTTCTGGAAGCAATTTGTATCTCAGATTCTAAGACTGGCAAAGCACGAACAGCGGTTGTCAGGTAGCATTGCGCGTGGTCTTCTGTCGAAAGAGAAGCGATAACGGCATCTTCATCGGTCGTAGAGTGTTCGTTGATGAGTCGTGACAATGCGTCTGCTTGACCAAATTGTTTGGTGCGTCGATACTGAATGTCAAAATCATACCCCAAGAGGATCAAAGCCCATCGTTGGAGACGGTTTGCAGAGTGGGCCGGGACGCCAGATTTCGAACCAAAAATTGCGAGAAGGGGCTTGTGATCCGTAAGGAGTGTGAACCTCCGACCGTACAAAAATTTGTGGAACCGCCGCACCGCAAACACCAGGGCGAGAGCCTCCTTCTCTATCTGACTATACTTCCTTTCTGCCGGGGTCAGTGTTCGGGATGCGTGCATGACAGCCTTCTCTGTTGCGTCTGGAAACTGATGAGAAATGACGGCTCCTACGCCATACGCTGAGGCATCTGCAGCTACAATGATTGGCATGCATGGATCGTAGTGCGTTAATAACAATTTCGAGCTGATGATGGACTTCAGTTTACAGAATGCTGCGTCACACTCTTTAGTCCAGTTCCACGTACTGTTCTTGCTCAGTAGGCCATTCAGTGGGGCACGAATGTCATGCATTGAAGGGACGAACGCGGCATAGTAAGAGACCAGTCCCATGAAGGAACGCAGTGCGGAGATATTCGTGGGTGTGGGCATCTGTCGTATCGCTTGGACATTTTCAGGATCCGGTCTGCGGCCGTCAGCATCAAAAATAAACCCCAAATACTTTACGGACCGTAATAAAAACTGGCATTTCTCAGGTCGTAACCGGAACCCGTTTTCACTAATGCGTTTCAGTACCGATGTCGTTCGCTCATGTAGCTGTTCTAACGTTGCGGCAACAATTAGAATGTCGTCAAGGTAAGCCGCGACTCCCGGGATGCCCGATAAGATAGTATCCATTAATTGTTGGAAAATAGATGGTGCAGTCTTGACACCGAATGGTAAACGGTTGTACTGAAATAACCCACGGTGAGTGTTGATAGTAAGCAGCTCCCTAGATGCTTCGTCTACTTCAACTTGCAAATAAGCATCAGCAAGATCCAGTTTTGCGAAGAATTTTCCCCCATTCAGCATCGTAAACAAATCTGCCGGAACTGGTAAGGGATAGTGGTGTTGTTCAAGGGCTGCATTTAGACCTGTAGAAAAATCAGCACATATTCGTAAGGTGCCGTTTGCTTTCTTGATGACCACTATCGGTGCTGCCCAGGCGGAGTAAGAAACGGGAGTAATTACTCCTTGTTGTTGGAGGCGGTTTAATTCTTCATCTACTGTTGGTAACGTCGCATAAGGCACGGGTCTTTTGGGACGAAAGACAGGCTTAGCTCCAGGTTTCAAACGAAGCGTTGCTTTTAAGGTAGAACACTGTCCCAAACCAGGCTGGAAAATCGATGAAAACTGCGCCATTAGCTTCCTGGTATACGATTCAGTGCCATGAGGTTGTGATATCATGTGGCATATGATATTTAGTGGGACATCAGCCAATTTCAGTTGATCGAACCAATCTAAACCAAGTAAATTTAGATCAGCTGGAGTTATATGACATACCCCGGTAAATGACGACTCCCGGAAGGTCACTCTACATTCCAATTGTCCTTCTAAGTGTAGGAAATTACCACATGCGGTACGAGGCTTTTTAGTTGTTCGCTGCAGGCTTGGGCGACCCATTTTGATCCAATTTTTGTGAGAGAGGATGGTGACGTCTGATGCGGTATCTATTTGCAATCTAAAAAAATGTCCATTAATATTAATGTTAATGAATTTCCTCTCACCTGGTGATGAACTCTGACAAGAAGATACCAAGCTCAAAGAAGAGGTACAGGGCTTTGGAACCGTCTTTTTGGTATTACTGGATCGATTTGGTGTGCTCTTAAGGCAAAACCCGTCCTTGTGGCCAACAACCTTGCACTTCCTGCATCGATGTTGCTTAAATGGGCAATTCCTTACGTAGTGCCATGCACCACAATGCCAGCAAGGAGTGGAGGGATTTGTTCTGGTCTGTCGAATTGGGCTGAAATGAGTTGGACTGAATGCAGCGGGAGCGCACTGATTCTGGTTAGTTGTCTTTTGGATTACTCGTACTTCCGATCGACTAGACCCACCACTCTCAACCATCGACGTGTCTCGTTGTAGATTTACTAGGCGTTGATATTCATTAGCCATGTCATTTAGTGTAAGTTTTGGATCTTGGTCCAATCGACATAGTAGTCGCGTTCTTATGTCACTGAACTTCTGGGACTGAAGGCTGCAAATGAGGATAAGGGCTTTGAACTGGTCTTCAGATAAAGACTTTAACCGGAACCGTTCGCATTCACGGTTAACGATGCCCACATGCGTAAGGAAGTCATCGTCTTCGTTCATAACCAGCTTCAAACATCGGTAACGGGTGTTAAACAATGATGAATTGTCCCCAAAATGTTGGCTTAGTGTCTGGACTGTGTCTGCGAAAGAGCGATCACGTGGATTCAATGGCAGGATCAAATTGCAGTACCTGTCCAGCTCACTTGCACCCAACTTCCGAAGTAGCAGTCGTACCTTCCAAGCATCATCTTGATTAGCAAAATCAAATTTAAATAGGTCTTCATAACGCCGGAACCACATGTCAAAAGTAACGTTTGCATCAGGATCATAATGAAACTCAGCAATACTATTTGCGACGCCGTCTACTGATGGTGCTGTGGTTGCATTAGCTGTGCTAGGCTGTGAAGGGGGCGAAACTTTCATGTCTGTCAGCATTTGTATGAGCTTCAGCTGCTGTTCAAGTAATGATTCGAGTTTAGAAGGATCCATGTTTCCAAACCACCGTCGCCAATTGTTATGCCTGAACTAAATCGATTCCGCGGTACGAACGAAAACCAAATGACACAATGACACGATAAGCTATTCTAATCTGTTGTCCCAGGCCCCGCTAACTAGATGAAGAAGTCCAAGGCGAGTAGGGGAATATATATGTATTCCGCAAGCAGCCGAGTACAAGCAATCAAATAAGGGAAAAAGTCAAGCGCATTTATACAGTAACAAATTGTCCTTGAGCACCATTAGTAAATAGCACACATAAAGAAACAAAGGACCAATAGCGGTTAAGATAGTTTACAGGTGGGAAATATGACGTGAAGGTAAAAGAGCGCTTTTGGCGCGAAAACAGCTAAATTCAAATTTTCAAAATAAAACTACAAGATTAGGTCATTTACCAAGTAAGTTCTGGGGATTTGACATCCCCAACAGTTAGATAGACGGATATCTCGTCTTCGCCATAGATGACGTTAGGTGGCAAAAGCCAAACGAGTTTGTTAAATCCATGCAGAGATTTCATCAGACACCAACCCATTAGGGCTGATCAGACTTCCAAGATAAGTGAAGTTATCGACGCGTTCGACTACTTTATTCCCTATCTCTAGTTCAGGTGTTGATGCAGGCCAGTCCTGGAGTAACAATTTACAATTAGATGGGGAGAAACGCATCCCAAACATCCTGGCATTATTACTCAGTTCTAACAGAAGACTCTGCATTTTGTCAGCGTCTTCACCAAACAGGACTATGTCATCTGCGTATTCTAAGCCGATTAGTGCACCACCTGGTAGGAGATCAATTCCTGAAAATTTAGTCAAAGAGAGTGTTATTTCCAGCAACAGGTCTATAATGAAGTTAAACAAAAATGGGGATAGTGGACAGCCTTGTCGGACACCACTTGAGGTTGTAAAACCAGATGACAGTTCGCCATAAGCTTTCACTCGACTGGTGATGTTCGAGTAAAGAGCCTTCACAAGGTTTATGTACTTCTGAGGTACACCATTCAATGACAGACACTGCCACAGAACCTCTCGGTCTACAGAGTCAAATGCTGCTTTCAAGTCAAGAAAAACTATCATTGTCGGACGCCGATAAACATGCCTGTGCTCTTAAACCTGGCGATTAGTGAATATGTGGTTGATGCAGGCACGACCAGGTCTGAAACCAGCCTGATTTTCTCGTGTTTGCAGTTCACGAGTCTTAGTTAGGCGCCTGATAATTATTGAGGCAAGTATTTTAGATGCTATGTTAGTCAGACTAATCTCTCTATGATTATCACAGGATGATTTCGACTTCTTCTTATATATTGGGACAATAAGTGATTGTGACCAGTTGGATGGGATTACATCCAACTCCCAGATTTTAGCAAGAATATTAGTCAACATAGTCGCTAAAATCGGGCCACCATATTTAAAGACCTCTGGAGCTAATGCATCGAGACCAGATGCTCTTCCTCGTTTCAGATAAGTTATAGCCTTTTGAACTTCAGATAGGGTCGGGGAGCCAACTTCAATGTTCCATTCAGACTGTCTGGGAATAGTGGGTAGTTGTGTAGTAGCTGAATGCCAGCTGAACTGCTCCTTAAAGTGTTCCGCCCATCGTTCTAAACGTCTGGGCTGAGAGCAGATAGGGGTTCCGTCTTTTTCCGAGATCGTTTCATTTACACTGGACTTCTTAATTCCGGTTTTTCTTATTAGTCTGAAGAGTTGCCTGGTGTTGCCTACAGCCACTGCCTTTACATCTCTTTCGCTTTTGTTGCCCACCACTGCTTACGATCTCGTTCCTTAGACTTTTAGTCAACCTAGATCTGATTTGTTTACTCTTTTCGTCGTGTTCAGAGCCTGATGGGATGAATTTACGAGAATCCATCAGTTAATTAGACGTGGAAGAAATTCATTGATGTTTTGGAACCCTATTGTTTCAATTACTAATAGATGTTACTGCTGTTTCCACAGCTGTTCGTATGTCTTTCTAAGCAGCATCTGGGTCAATCTCGTTTACAGAACTGCCTAGATGTGAACTCAGTTTGTAATCTTAAAACACTCATTATAGTTAGTATGTTACTATAAAAGCAAATGATAAACAATAAACTGGTGTAAGTTACATGCACTCATCCACCGACCACGTTGGCAGAAAAAACTCTGCCAGTACGTAAACAAACCATTAATCCAGGCAAAGATACAACTAAATAATAGTATTTCACACTGTTTACTTGAACTAAAATTACATTTTAAATTTATAGGTCGGTTTGCATAGAAATAGTCAATGATAATGATCCTAGTTTTACGTAACATTTTATCATTTCATTACTATATTGAACATTATGCAGGAGGTACACGAAAATATGACACTGGTCAGTAACGATTCGCGTCACATGTAATTGTAGATTTTGTAAAATTAGATCCAATGAATATTAAGCACTCACGCCTATGTGTTCAGCGAAAATTAGATACTTTGAAGTAGTACGTGGTCAAGTGGTAACGAAATTCTTTATACATAATGAAAATTAAAATAGTCATACACCAAGGAAACTTTATACACACAAAAAAACATCTTATTTCTAAATTATTGACAAAGACACCATATAAACAGACTCACTCGCAAAACCTTATGATATTCTTGGAGTTTAGCTTTGCGTTGAGGTGCTGGAACATTATTGAAATAATTCCTAGCTCTATCCAGCCGTACTTTAGCTCGAGTTAAGGAAAATTCACTAATCCATAGACGAGCCTCTGCAAGAGTATTCGGACCTTGATGGTACCACACTGTAGTATCCTATGAGAGTAATATTTGATTGTGAAATATTTGCGAAAAATGAATGATAGAGTCAAAAAATAAACTACTATGCACAAACAATAAACAACATAGGTAAACAGAAACAGTGAAAATCACGAACATATGAGTACTTCAGTACAGTAGTGTACACTCTGGTCTCCGTTTAGGGAGCGAAATAAATACCAAATTAGTAAGGATATATTTTGAAGTATATTTAGAAAATAATTTATTGTCATATATTTCACCTAAACTGAATTATAATGTATAACTCATAATCAATTTTGTTTGAGCAGACAAGTAATAACTCTATGTCAATGCACTCCGACACCAATCAAGTGACTTGTGTTCGGTGCCCCTTTGTACCAATATTTATGTGTTCAAGTAAATAAATAAATAATTTGGGAACGACAATACTTGCTGGTCACCTACTAAAGTACACACAATATCCATGGTCTACGTGCTTGACGGTAAAGTGTTTAAAAATTATCGTGAATAAATGGTAACTACTAAACTCAGTTCTGCTTATACGACTTGACCCTAACAAATATTGAAATGTAAACAGTGAAATCTTATTGTATGCAAACTGATTAATAATATAATGATTGTAAAATGTCATAAAAATTATACGACATAATATTACACCAAAGTTGTGGTATACATTTTATAAGTTCAGTGGCATAAATACTTTCAAACTTACATCTCCGACAGTCTCAGTAGTAGAAATATTTTCACCAAGTCGATTAACAGATGTACCAGTCCCAGTTGATGATTTTACTGTATCTGTTAAAGTTGGTCTTTGAGCTGGACCACCGCTCACTGCAAGAATCATCCGTAGTCTTTCTCTTCGGTCTGCTCCATCTTCACCAAATAAACCTAGTGTCAAAACATATTGTGAAGAAATTTATCGAAGGTAGTTGTACGTTATGAGATATACTATTTAACTAAAATATTAGATTAATAATTGATTTAAGCGAAGAAAAATTTATTATCTTGTACTGTTGTCTATGAAACAGTAGTTCTAATATATCAAATGCGTACGTTTCAGAATTATCAGTCAGTCAGCTACAACGTAGGACCAGGCACATACATGCATAGGAATTATACATTTGATTTTTGACGTTAAAGATTCACGTGGTGAAAATTAAAATTAAAACACATAAGCGCGAGCAATCTTGTTTTCAACTAAACCATCATCCGGCTTTACTCCGATACACAGTAACAGTAACGTGAAAATTGATAGTAAAAAAACTATCGATTTGTATTCTTCACCTATTATGTGTAGTTATACAATCTATTTCATTGTGATTATTGATTCCCACAGCCTACCATGGGACAGAACAAACCATGTTCTAGCTGAGGAGCAAATTAAGAAAAGACACTGGAGGTGGATTGGACATACATTGAGGAAATGATCAAACGGCATCACAAGGCAAGCGCTAACTTGGAATTTTGAATAGAAAAGGAAAACGGTAAGACCAAGTAATACATTGCATCGGGAATTAGAGACGGATGTCTAAAGAATAAATAGCAATTTAAAACAACTGGGAAGGATTGCTCACCATGGAGTTCGATGGAGGATTTTGGTGAGCGGTGTATGTTCCTTCCATGAGGGGTAACGTGTAAGTAAAAAATGTTGCTGGGTTGAATATTTTTAATGCTTTTTTTGTCATCATAACGTGATACAAAGAAATAAAGAAAACAAACAAATCCAACTTACAGACAGGTTCACCAAGTTGGCGAAGATAAGCCCTCACTTCAGAGTCTTCTGTGGATACTTGTATTAAACGAGCCTACAATTGTGGTTAGAACAGTTTTATTAGACACAAATATAAGTAATACACAATGATGTAAGTAAGATAAGAATAAATTACGAAAACAAATCCAGGAGCTCTAGTGAGAAGTAGTGACCAGTGGAGTGCAAACCACATCTGTCGTGAGATAGGAACTCACTGATGATAATTGGTGAATGGTTGCTCAAATAAATAGATTAATGTACAATCGAGACAAGCTTTTGTATAAGATTAGTGATTAAAATTGTGAAGTATTCAGATATCGTTGTTATGACTCTCAAACTACTTTTTCAGATTATAATTAATCTGTTACTAATTTACAATTTCAATGGACTGTTTAATATTAATTACAGTTTTATTACACAAACAATGGTGAAAATGAATACATTTAGTATTGTTCGTTTGAATATTCCCATCGATGTGTTAGGACTGCAACTGGTCAGTCTCTAATTGGCATATGTGCATACTGTGCGTATTGCATCGATAAAGCCTTGAATCACAAGCATGGTAAGCAGAGATGCATAGTGACTATCAGTCAGTCAGTCAGTTACAACGTGGGACCAGGCACATTTATACATCGGTCCAAGTTACCATACCTCATTAGCACAAGATGAACACCGGATTCATAGAAATAGTTAATTTAGTGGTAGTAATATATAAAAGAAAGGTTGCATATAAGGACATAGTATAGGAAGGAAGAACGTTATGAAGCAATTTTAATCTCAAGGTTTAAGGGAAGATAGAGAGTTTATACACCCTCGCTATTGTGATCGATTCTGAGCCATGTCACCTAGAGTCTCCAACCATTGGTTGCGATAGTCACGCGGACCCCAACCAGGTAGTCTGCACCTACCAACATGGCTCAGACTAGAAGTTAGTGACTTCAAGCACTGATGCCATGTTTCGGTTTGGTCGCCCCTAACTCTTTTCCAACCATCCCCAACACAAGTCAGCATAGCACGTCGTGGTAATCGGTGTTCAGGCACGTGTAACACGTGACCCAACCATCTCAGTCGATTAAGATTCATGACCTCATCAACTGATTTACCATCATTCCCAAATACCCTGTCTCTAACCTCTGGAGCCAATCCATCGAGACCAGATGCTCTTCCTCGTTTCAGATAAGTTATAGCCTTTTAAACTTCAGATAGGGTCGGGGAGCCAACTTCAATGTTCCATTCATAATGTCTGGGAATAGTGGGTAGTTGTGTAGTAGCTGAAGACCAGCTGAACTGCTCCTTAAAGTGTTCCGCCCATCGTTCTAAACGTCTGGGCTGAGAGCAGATAAGGGTTCCGTCTTTTTCCGAGATCGTTTCACTAACATTTGACTTATTAATTCCGGCTAGCAGTGGAATCCAGGACACACGTTTCGCCCTGTTTGGGACACGTCAGCTGAACGTGACTGCATCTCAGAGTTGATGTTCACCCTGGGACTCGAACCCAGTACTTTTCGCTTCAAACGCCATCACGTTACCCACTCGGCCACTGAAATGTAATTATATTAATTTGAAGAATATTGTTTTCCAAAAAATGAAATAATTTCGAAAATTAAAGTACGACCACTATGCTATTTCGACTGAATGACTTTATAAAGATAATGAATCAAAACTCAATTACGTATTACATCCAATGATCACTCTCCACATTAACATTAACAACAACTAACTAAATATTTCTGAACATAAAAAATAATCAGATATTTAAAGGACTTGAGTCCAAGTTTAAGTGCGTTATTTATGCTTAGGAAAAATTCTTCTTTCAGCTGATACTACGTAAAAGTTTCGGAACATAAGGCATTTCTCTAAAATACAGAGATGTAAAATAAGTTAACATTAAACAGCTGAATCGGTACGATGTAAATGGGAGGAAAAAAGTTTTTTTTTGACACAGAGAATACCGAAAGAGCAAATGTAAAAACAGAGATGAACACATGAACTATATATATATATACCTAAAATTAGAATTTAGATTTATAAGACACAAAGTATTTTATAAAAGATATAACATTTATTAAAAATCATACGAAGTTTAGTAGTACTGTTGCAAAAGTATTAGAACGAAATTATAATTATTAATTCAACTTACCTTTTTACGTAGTTCTAATTGATTTAACGCTTCTTGAGCGTTTTTATCCACTTCATCCAAAGGTAAAGTACCTAATGTGGAAAGCACAAATTAAATATAAACAAGAGTTTGTGTAATAGACGGATTGGTGGTAGCAGTGGAAATCAAGAGGGATGTTTTGTTTATATGTACCAGCATCCCAGTAATAGGAAATTCATATCGAGATTAAAAAAAAAACCAATTAGACGGAGTTCCGTTCTCTGAGTTGGATGGTTTGGTCGTGGAGCCTTCATTTTTTTGCTGAACAGTATCATCAGCGCAAACTTCAAGTAGAAGCGAAGTGTTCGAATTTCTCTACATATGACTCACAGCTTGTTCTGTCCACCAGCTCAGAGAACACAACTCCACCTAAATCATCCACCTGAGCTGCATATCTCCATCATCACAAAAAACCCGGTTCTTCGCCTTAAATGTTTATGCACTGAGTTAATGAGTCCATATAGCCTTTAATTTGTTTAGAAGGTATGTTTATATTATTAGTAAGGGTTGTTGTCCTATGGTTGGTCTATATATTACCACCATTAAATTAACTACTTCTATGAATTCGGTGTTCATCTTGTTGTGCTAATGAGGTGTGACATCTTGGGCCGATGAATTAGGAGATCCAGACATACTAGTGAACAAAAGTATCAAGAATTTAACCACATCTCTATGTCATTGAGTGTATTAAAGCTTGAGAGAAATTCAACTGATAAAATAGAATTTATGGTCAGTTCGACTGTATGAACGTTGTTAATAAAAACGATTGAGGATGAAAATAAACACAATAATGTAATGTACTGTGTAACTAATATTTGATTAAAGCACTTAATAAAAATAATGATCTAAAATGCAGAATCATATGTTATTATTCATTCACCATTACCCACTAATAACGGATAGAAATACCAGATTTATAAAGTTTAGCATATATTTATAAGAACAGTTGACAAATTTTAAAAAAGCAGTGACTAAAATTCCTTCCAGTTGATTTCAAACGACTTTATTTTAAGAAATAAAGTATTTCGATAGAGTAATGAGAAGACGAACTTGATCTGATCTCTTTGCTCTATTGAAATTTATAAAACGAACTAATTGCTTGAAAATAAAGTATTGCCATAAATTTACATATGAACAAGTCATCTACATTCTACATATTCATTATAACGAAAATAAATATGGAACATTAGCTTGATGGATAAATCATTCAGCTTTGAATAATTACGTGGAATGTTCAAAACCTACTTTGAGTTAATAGGTTAAAGTGGTCCGTTAGAACGAGTAAACCTTACATAGAATATCGTATATAAAGCCAACTACATGAACGTATACTTAACAGATAGGTTAATTTACTAAGAACAATCATCAAGCATCATATCAAGTTAATCTATCACTCATAATATTGCAGGTAATACATTTTGCAATCTGTACGATGGATTATTTTCAGAGTGTTCAATGAGTTCACTAGATGAACGCAACATCACTTATGATCAATACAAAAACAGTTTTTATTAAGATAAACACAAGAAACAGATTGTTGTAAAATAGAATAAATTTATTACTGATAAGAAACATATTAATAATTATTCTTAATATTGTTATTGTCAAGTATTAATAATCACTGTGAAAGTATTATTTATAGTGCACTTAAATATAAATAATTGAATATATGATTTAATAGTTAAGTACGATACATATGACCTATGCACAAGAAAGGAAAAACAGCGAATCAATGAATTACATAATTAACAACAACCTAGATTATTGAGGGTACACGCGCAAACAATCATGAGCACACATACAGAGTAGGTAAAGTTTTCAGTATGCATCGTTTGTATATCTTAACAATTTTTCTTTTAAAAAGTCAGAGCACATCAAGTGTCAGGATGACACCTAAACTGATCAATGAGGTAGAGAAAGAATATACGACTGACCTACCATCCTTGTTTGCATTTGCTGCTGTATGAGCCTCCCGCAACCTATGCAAATCGGCCAATGTAGTCATTAGGATAGATGATATTCAAAGAATTTGATGACTTGAAGGACAATAAGAATGCTGAAGTAGAAACAAAAATTATATCAAATTAATTATTGGCTAACAAAAAATTAAGAAAATAAGTGAACAAAGTGATCAATATTTTAGCTGATACGCACAATGAAAACGCACACATATTGAATATATCAATTATTTTGTTGGAATATTTTGTGATGGTTTGTCTAATTCAAAAGTTTTCTTATTAGTTTCAATGAAACACTAACTAAAATTGGTGTGAATCAAACATTTTCTTTCGTCTTAGTTTTAAAATATCAGATGGTAACACTAATTACAAGATATTTAGATTCTGTGGTAACTAGGAAGCCACAAGTCAGAATGTGATGCTCAAGTTAATAAGAGTATAGCTTGATGATCATCGACTATAACTAGTATAGTTATAAAGTAGTACGAAACTGTTACAAAAGCCAAACACTGAGGAGAAAAGTACATCTAACGAAACATATAATTATTCTAAAATACCTTACGATAGTTGTGGAACAATATCACTTAATTACCATCCTAAGTATTCAGTAAACTGGAACTAACAACACTGAAAGCAAGAAAAATGTACCTATCCTATTATTGAACAAGTAGAATAGGTAGAACAAATTAAAATATGGTTATGGATAGAATACTTGTGTTGAATTTGCAACATTCTTTCCCCATGTTACTAGCGTGAATTGTTAGTTTTGTAACGTAGGAAACGAAAACAAAATTCTTCAGAAATTCTATCGGTTACCGTTGTTTTACTGGAAATATCTGGAGGAGTGTTAGCGGGACATAAATTGGATTAAAGCATGTTTCATGCATGATGGTGTTGCTGAAAGCTGATTGGCTAATTCTAAACCGATCAGCCCGGGCATATTATTGGAGAAAAATCTAGAAGCTTCTTATGTATATACTATAAATATATGAACGTTATTCAAATCAATGATTGCTGTTCACATACCATTATTATTTGTGAATACAATTTCATTCCTGTTCAAAGTGTTCTGATTTTGGGGTCTTGTCGAGTGTCATTGTATAAGAATATTAAGCAATAGGAATAGCTGGGTCGTTTATTAGCAAAAATACAATTATAACAAGGAGAAAAATTAAATAGATCTCCCAAAACCGCGTCAGGTACTGACGCGTTTTCTGAAAATTGATATAATCAATAGAGCTCATAGCGTTGCATTGCAGTTGGTTAAAAACTTAGTGTCCAACTTGTAAGTCATTTTCAACTCTTAAGTCCCAAACGGAAAACACGTTTCTAAATCCAATATACAAGCCAGTACTTGACTGCTTGTTCGCACTGAGACTACCGTTGTAAGCTGATGCGTAGAGATTTTGAATACAAGTGACAAGAAGTTGTACTTTGAAAGCAATTCATATTTTGATAGACGGTTTTAAAGGCTTTCTAATAGCTTATTAGATGGCACGCCGAGTTCCATTGTCCGAACACGATCAGAGAAAAATCAGTGTTTTCATGGGAAATCCCACCTCAAAATAGCAATTATAATGTTAAATAGTAACTAAAAAGGTATTGTAACGTTATAAAATAAAACTATTAATTCACAAACCGAGAGCATTACCACTCAGTTACTTTGCAAACTGTTAAACTGAATAACGTAACACACTAATTCGTCAGACTGATTAAACATGGTTTAGGAAAGGTTTAACTAGTATATGAAGAGTTTTCAGATGAGCGAAAGACAGAAACTGACTCAGAAAATGAACTGCGTATTCCTAATTACGCAAATTGTCAAGAACGGGTAAAATTTGAAACAGGTCTGAGAATTGAGCAAATGTATCGATACATTGATTTGAACTTCGGTTTTTGACGAAATGTCGATTTTAATAATTGTAATCATTAACCCAATACAAGTGATAAGGGTAACTTAAATAGTAGAACTATTATTACACTGAGCATTGATTAGAAAACAAGATCCTTTTCAAAACGATAAATGTACTGATCTCATTACAGTAGCTAACAAACTATTGATATTTATAACTATTTCTTTGTATAGGGTTGAGGGGGGAGGGCTGGGGAAGGCAGGAACACAACTTCCATTTATAACACATATAATGTATAGGTTACCTTCTGATCTTATTGTGGTTCAAATTGATTGGTATTGCAACATATGTACTCTATTTTGTCTATACAAGAAAAGAATGTACACATGGAAGAAGAATCTATTTAATAAGGTTATATCCTTTAATTTAATTGCGAAATTATGATCACCACTCTAGATAAAATGAGCTATCAGAATTTCTTCACAGGTGACTATAACAGATTGTCTAATTGATAGAACAATGACATTCAGTGCACTTCAAACAAATAATAAGAGCAAGAAAATAAACAACTGGAAAAATGTTAATTACTCAAAGGAAACTAATAAGGATGATATTCATTATTTTAATACACATTAACAAAGATACAGTGGAAACATCATGAGAATGTTCTACGATTAAACGTTATGCCATAAATCTCTATGTAAAAATGAAAGTATATTTTAAATATTTCTTAATTATTGCAATAATAAATGACTGTAGATAACACATTATTTTTAGCATTCAGCGTTTGTACGACAAAAACCAAAAAACTGCATGTTAAACTGTAGTTACTGACTATGCCAGCTAAATCATTTAAAAGCATCTGACTAAGATAAGCAGAAGACAAATACAAATAACACATAAACACAACACACACAAATACGCACAACTGGGAAACAGAAAAAAGAGATAATCAACTTTTATTCATTTGTATATTTACATTAGTTATTTATAGGGTCGAAAAAGTACATTTATAGTAGTAGAAACAAACAAATAATCATAATAAAAACACCAAAAAAGATGGTGTACAAAATATATATAGATATAATAAAATCAAATGTACATGTATCTCACATCTGAGTTCGTTAATATCTTCAATGTACCAGACAAAAAAAAGGAAGAATCTATCTACCCTCCCTGCCAAAAAAACGAGAGTGGAATGATCCAAATAATAAACTGTATGAACAATTAAGAAAGAATGAGAATTATGTTATAAACGTATATCACAAAGTAGTCAATTATATATATATAGTAGAAATTTGTGGATTGTTGACTTTCAAACCGCCGTTAAGATTGTTTGTCAAATGATTCAAATTCAGTTGTTCATAGTTAACGCAGAATTGAACATTGTGCCATTTAATGAATACTATTTACCGATGGATGACAATAACAATTTGTTTTACATGTGATTTATGTGACAAGTATTTCTTTATAAACAAAATAAAATAAATTACATTTTAATATTATGAATAAGTTAATAATTAAAGTGAAAAATAATAATTGTAACTATGATGTAATGATTTAATAAGTTTAATACAATTTGCCATAATTTGATTTGATCGTAGTTTGTGTACAATGACTACCAACACTAGACAGTTGAAAACAGACAAAAATAGATGGAGAGGATAAAAGTCGAAACTTATAAAAAAATTATTGCAATTTGATCACTTTGATCATCTAAATCATTAGTTTAATACTGTAATACTTTCAAAATCATTACTGACTAGTCAACATTTGGGCTAACATGTCATATCAACTAGGATAGGTGACTCGGGATATAAGGAAATGTATTTAATTGAGCAAATAAATGTTTGGCTAATATTGGTTTTACAATTGACGCTGAAGAGAGAATAAAATGGAGATTTAAAAAAACATTTCACAACACAAATACTGATGAATGAAGCAAATGCAGGAGTTTTAAACTAACAACCATTTTAATTTAGATCAGAGATATAAAAAATGGAAAACGGTACCATAACGAATGTCTGGTACATAGGAAGCTTTTTTAATTACATAAAAGTAAATAGTAAAATAAAACGATTAAGCGTAATCAGCAGGTAATGTTTGATCTATTGGTTTTTAAAAAGTTGGTTAATACAAGTGATGCATATTCATAAGGAGGACATATATTATTGATGCTAGTCATTACATATTCTAAATTGCTTCGTCCAATATTACAGTCGTAGACCATATCACTGAAACATTTGGGTCATAAACATATTGATCAATTTTCAAGAAATAACTGTAAGTATTTAAGAGAAATTCTTCTAAGTTTCTAGCTACAGAGTTCCATGGCGAATGTTAGAACCAGACGACATTTAAACGATTAAACCGCCGAGTATTTCAAACAGATTTCGTGTTTATTGATTCAATTCTTATTGGCGTAAATAATTAAAACATGTAACCACAAAACGCTTAAATAAATAATCAATATTATTTGTTTTTTGCACTGATAAGAAGATAAAGCTGTAAAAGTCAGATTATGAATAACTTGTTTATTTTTATTTTTATCTCAAACGCAATCTATCATCTGCATCTAATTATCATGCATTTTAGTTTGATAACAGATTTCAGCTACGTCAACAATAGAAAATGTATAAACACTCTGATCAAATGTAATACTTGCTACTCAAGAATCGGTTCACAACAATTTTATTGCGTAATAAAACTATGGAATAAATAATATTCAGGTTCCAGAGGGCGTTGTCAAAACACTTCAAATAGAACAAAAGACTAGTTATAATGTTTGAGATAGCCATAGTTTACAGACGACTGATTTAGCATACAAGGATAATACTTAAATAGTTCATAGGTCTTGAAACTTAGTAAAGTATCAAACAGCCTAACAGAATGTCATGAATTTGGATCCTGGTCAGTCAGTCAGCTACAACGTAACACCAGGCACATTTATGCATCGGTCCAAGTTATCATACCTCATTAGCACAACAAGATGAACAACGGATTCATAGAAGTAATTAATTTAGTGGTGGTAATATATAAAAGAAAGGTTGTATTTAAGGACATAGTACAGGAAGAAAGACAGATGTGAAGCTATTTCAATCTCACCATTTAAGGGAAGACTGCGTGTATACACCTACGCCATTGTGATCGATTCTGAGCCAGGTCATCTAGAGTCTCCAACCATTGGTTATGAT